TAATGCCTGTGTTTTTTACGTTTGACTGCATCACATCCTTTTGACAAAATCAATGACAATATTGCTTCGTCAAATTGTAAAACATTCGAAGTTTGGTGAAGAACTAAGTCTCAAGGTTCGTGGTCTAATGTTGGCTGTGATATGGACTTTTACCTTGGGCCGCACGGCTGAACGATATTCTTTGACAAATTCGATGCCGTAGGTGTATGCCTGCAGCATTCTTGCTTTCGTCCACGTTCCTTTAGCGGGGAATGTTGAGACAATCTGGTCGTCAAATATTTGGCCACCCATCATTTTGCATACCTGCGTCTAGTCATCTATAATCTGCCCTTTCTACATGTTGACGATGGTATTTAGACCAGATTTGAGAAGAACAAGCACGGTAAACTTCAAGGAATTAGGAACCTAGTTTATCCACTAGCCTAAACTCCTAATACATTCTCACTTTACAATTTCCCATCAACTGTATTTCGGCAGGCTCTTGTGCAATTCGCGTTGTCTATCACAATGATCGCGTTGGGTTTCTGTAGAGCAGCGACGTCGTCGAGTAAGCGCTGAAACCATGCGACGAAGTAAGCCTGGTTAAACATTGCGTGGTAGTCGCTGGGTTGTGTGAGACCTCCTTCAAACGCTTCGTAGGTCAAGTTCTTGGCCGTCAGCCATTGTGGAAGTAGCGCCGGCGCCATTGTGCTTCGGCTTGGCGTCGGTGGCGTCGTCAGGATGGTATATAATGTCATAATGACGAGTATAGTGGTGATCTGAAAAGGATTCATCCAATTAGGTTCCCGGCCGAAGCTGCGAGGACTCACTTGCCGTGCTCATAATTTGATCATATTTTTCCCTAGCACTAGCAACAGCGTCAGTGAGTCAAATGGAATGGTTTCCGTTCCTTTGACCACGACGCAATCCCTCGCTTACAAGGAATTTCTGCACTAGTTGCAAACACGCATTCACAGGTTTATAGATTAGAGGGTCGTAATTCACAATACCATGCTCACACAAAACACTCTTCACATATTTTGCAACCACAAGTGTGCGAGTTGATCTACGCTTGCCACCAAATGATTGCTTGATAGATAAGTAGAAACTGAATTTTTATCAAGCTCAAAGACGAGCTAAAAGTTTTGGTTTATCAGGAAGTCGTGTTGGTTCTTCAGGTCAAATTATAGTTATGAAACTAAAATCTGGTTCTTGAAAATTAGAAATTGCTCAACTTAGAGAAGTACAACCCTTTTCACAATTTGATTCTGCAACGCAAAGTGCAATAAAATTTTACAAGCCGTCAGTACACTTTTCTACAGGTGCCAAAGACCATAGTCGTCGTCACCGTCGCTGCTGGACGAGTTGCTGCTGCTTAATAGTCGCAGGTATGGTCATCGCCGTATGATGCGTGGCTGATGTCTGGTAACGCTTGCTCGTCCGCCGACACATCTTCTTCATCTACAGCGTCCTGGAGACTAAGGTAGTCCAGCAACTCGGTGAATCATATGTATCCTCCATGCCTTCATGTCGAAACTGAGCGTGAAGACGTAAGATGTCGATACGTTCTTCTTTAGTTAGGCTTGGTGGGCGACTCTGCTTGACGAACCTACAGATCATGTCGAACTCAGTCGTGGCAATCGTTGGCATGTTGTGGAATGATAAAATTTGACAGGATGACCGCAATGGTACATAAACACGTGAACTCATACAAATTAATAATTTTGTAACATCATTTTTCATGACAAGATTCAAATTGACAATCATTCACATCTTTGAACTAGAGTGTTTTAAAGAGTATCACGTTTCGAAAGAACTCGTCAGTACAGCTCGATTTATCTCAACGAGCTGCATCGATTAATGTATCCCATGTCCACAAGAACTCACTTCGTTCATGTGTACGAGTAAACGACCCCTGGTTGATGCCCACTACTGGATGTAAATTATCCGTGGGGAAATCACTTTGAGCACTCCGTAAGTAAATTTGTTTGAGAAAACCCACAAAACCTCACAGTCATCTCACAGTGACAACAAATTTCACTGTGAGGATACTGTTTTGTGCCACTCTTTTGCAGACTGAATGTCTTGGAAGACGTTTTTACGTTTCATCTCAGTTTTTTCTTTTCCCATAAACATCGGGCGTCATTTTGCTGAGTTGTGACACGACTTTGTGGTGCACTCTCCCAAAAGGACCCTACAATAGATGTGCAGCTCTAAATCAACTGGGACAGTCAGGTAAATTGTATTTGATGGTGTCTATGGCATTTGCATCTTCTTGAAATTTTAGATTCGACCACATTTCTCTCGAAGGGGACTCATGATGGGCTTGACTTTTTAAAGAAGATTAAACAAAAGGGTGAGGATAATTTGCAAGAAATCTTGTTGAAAACGTCCTTTATATCCTAGGAATGGATATCAAGGACCTAAAATTTAGCTACCCAAAGTCACTCAATCTTGCTATGTGCCTCTTTTTCGCCCAGGGCATGTATCGTACTTGCAATAACGACATACCGAATTCTAGCTAATTTCCAGGCTACAAACAAATAGTTGTGGGTAGCGAAACATTTTGCCGGATATTTTGTAGTGCTACGAAACAATTTGTTTCACAATTTGTTTCGCAATGAGCAAACTATTTCCTGAAATACATTGGCATTTTGTAATTTCTGAAACTATCTGCTGAATAGTTTGGGATCGCGAAACACTTGCGAAACATTATCCGGATGGATCTCAACCAATTAGACTCCACACATTTTCGAATCATGCAAGCCGTGGAAAGCGCAAGCCTCGCCGAAGGGGAGGCTGGTGACAACATCATGCAGCTTCGGGTGGGTGGACGAACCAGGACCCAGTATAACACAATGCTTGCACACTTTGCGCGGTGGCTCAAGCAGAACCACCCCAGGTTAGTACAAAACGACGTCATTTCCTTGCCCATCCCTCCCGCCGTTTGTCAGACCTACCTCTCCTTTGTGTCAATCAAGCGAAACGCAGCAGGAGTCGAGCTATCCCCTATTCGCCACAACTCCTTTTC